AGACTTTATTTATGGATAACATGAAAAAAAACTGTTATTTTGTTCATTCGTCTATTTTTCTTTTTAAACATCATCTTTGAAAAGGTGGTGCTGCGAAGACTGGCCAAATTATTGATTTTAATTTTCTTTTCTTATTCAACCGTTGTTTTATTTGTTTTCAAAAGAGACTAACAGTAATCAGACAAACATTTTGGACACCATGAAATAACTCAAAACAGTCAAATTAAAGTAGAACAGGATGAAACACAGGAACAAACTTGCACATTTTTTATGACTCATTAAAAAATGTACAAAATCTCCCAAACGAGTCAAAGTGGATGACGTCAAATCCTGTTGCAACATGTCTGTGGTTCAGGAGCCAGAGGTCAGACCTGAGTCAGTAAAATTAGACGTGACTTGAAAAAATGCTCACAGACTTGTGACCTGACTTTTACACCAATGACTTGAACCTGTTTACTTGAAAATACTTGATGTTTTACTCAAAATCTAAAGTTTAAAACTGATTCTTTATAAAGTGGGGCTCGTTAATTAGTTTTAGTCATTATTAACAAAGTCGTTTTTATTCACTCTGAGCATGTCTGCAGCACGGCCAATCAAATTAATCATCCATCAGTTATCTATAACCGCTTCTTCCTGTCAGGGTCACTGGTGCCCAGATCCAGCAAGGGGCGGGGTACACGCTGGACTAGATTTAAAAAATGGGAAATTATTGTTTAAAGGAAGACTGTTGTTGCAGCTAAGTTTGATCAAACTGTTTTAAAATGCAGGTTTAAAAAACAACGTGGTGAACTAGACATGGGTTTTTACGATGTAAAAACAAGTGTGCATTGTCATGTAGCATGTCATGTAGCATGGCTTTGCCTGCAGCACTGGACTTGCAGAATGAAATGTGACCAAGTTCAAATGTGTTTTCTACCAACTTGTGCCTGTCACGTCAGCAGGCGTTTGTGATGATGGTAATTTAGTGACAATATGAAGTTTAAAGAGAATTTTAGTTAAAGTTGCTGGGTTTTGAACCCTGATCTCCCACATGAAAGCCCATGGCACTAACCATGAGACCATTGGAGCTGTGGTAGAGGAGATTGCCAGGAGTTGGTTTGTATGTGTGCWGAAAGAGGCCACATTGCCAATGCAATCGTTGACACTAAACTTTAATATATCACAGCAATAGAGCAATATTAGGACAATATAAAAGTAAAACATCAAAATAGAGTCATATTAGTATTGTAACCACTGAACGATTGTGATTAAATATTATTAAACTATGGTTCAGTACTGAGTAGATACAGCAGGAGGCAGTATTGGACCAATACAAGGTTCCATTGACACCCATTATAAATTATTATTAAACATTATTATTTCAAAAACTATACGTTGTACAGGCACCAAAAGGCATAGCCATCATTTGGCACAGGAGCTTTACAGATATAAATTACAATGGCAGCTCTAGGACAAAGTATGCAGGAGGAGAGGCATGGCAAAGTGGTGATAACTTGGATGAGAAACGAATCACAATAGTGTGCATTGCATTGGCAACGCACACTGATCAGTTACATATAACTGCAACATTGTTTAAAAAGACTCAAAAAGACTTTCAGACTTGTCTGTCTTGACTTGAGATTTGAGGGTAAAGACTTGAGACCTGCAAAACTATGACTTGGTCCCACCTCTGAGCAGAGAAAAGGTTTTTCTACCTGTTTTACAGGTGAAGCTGCAGGTGTGCACCATCAGCACCTGGTCCCTGCACAAGACTAACTGATACAGAAGATAAGATAAGATAAGATAAGATAAGATAAGATAAGATAAGATAAGATAAGATAAGATAAGATTAAACTTTATTGATCCACAGTGGGGAAATCTGCACATTACTGCAGCTCAATACAGGAGAGGCTGAGATAGAATAAAGAAAGATAAGTAAAAGAAAAAAGAAAAAGAAAATAAAAACACTATACTCGTGATATATATAACAATGTACATAAACCTAGTACAGTAAATAAATATGTGTACATGAAGGTGCATATTAGTGATGGCAAATTTTGAAATATTTAGCAGTTTGTGGAACATTAAATTTGTTGTTTGTTTGATTTTCAAAGCCCCCGGCCCACCCCCACCCTCTGCCACACCCCTGACCCTGAGTCCAAACCAGGTCCAGCTGGCTCCACCTCCACACACAGGATGTTCACTCTGACATTTTACTGCCTTTAAGTTCCAACTTTATAAAAAAAAATCAAAGTTTGTGCATTAAATCTGACTTCATTGTGAAATTTTGTCACAGAAAATCACAATAAAGTCTGATTTTTCTCGTAGCTGGAGCAACTTGTTTACATCATTTGTTTATTTGTTTGTTTATTAACTGGATGTTTCTGTCAGGTTATTTTAACATTTGATTTAAAGGGAAAAAAAAAAGCTCCTCTCACAATCAGCACGTAGCTCACGAGTGCAGCGCGTGAGGGGGGGGGGGGTGCGCACACGTGCCCACACGCGTCACCGCCCCGCCCCCCCGGTCCGCTCTTTGTTCCGCTCTGAGCCTAACCCTGGCCCGGGTCTGACCCGCACCTGGCCCGCTGCAGGACTGACCTTCTGCACCGCGGCAGATGGTACCGGATCAGCTCTGCAGCGGGTTCTGCTCGTCCAGAACCAACGGACTCGGTAAACAAGTCTGCGCTGCAGACCTGCACCAATCAGGAGGCGAGCTTCACGTCACGTGACTCAGCTTGTTTACTCCATGCAGGGGAGGCTCGCAGGGGCTGCTGGGAAACCCTGGGGCGGCTCACTGGACCTGCACAGGTACAGTACTAAGAAATACAGTAATAATAATAATAATAATAATAATAATAATAATAATAATAAAAATAATAATAACTGGAGAAAATTAATTTCATTGACAAGAAAAATGCTTCAGTAAAAGTCACAATACTTTTAAACACACGCTAAGAACTGAAGTTAAGTTTATTTATTTAACCAGGTGACATAATTTGGTTTTTGAATCCAACACTATTTTTTAGCGTGCACAAACAACTCCAATCACGACCAATTTAAATTTGTAACTAGGTGTTAAATTTTAAAGTAAAGAAGTATTTCAATGTTTTGAATGTAACAAAATAAAATCAAAAGTTCCAACTTAAAAAAATACTTTGTAAATTTACAAATCTTTAAAAAATGTCTTAAATAGCTACTGTAACAAAGTAAAAGTACTATTACTAAACATCTCTGTCCTGTCTGTGGTCATTTCTAAGATGTGTCTGCATTATCATCAGCTCAGGCTGCAGTGCATCATGGTCCATGTAGTCTACAAGCATTCTGGACCAACTGGGAGACTTCTGAGGGAGGACTGGCTGACTCTGATGTAACTGAGAATTTGTTCTTTTATTTTACTTGCATTTATTAAAAAATATGTTCTGTGCTTCCTGAGAAATGAATCTAAAAGAAGCGGATAAAGATAAAAATGTAGGGGATTTAAGACTGAGCCTTGGGGAACCTCAAAAGGAGCAGTATTCAAATCAGCTTTACCAGATCGTCTGTCTACCCGATTCATTTTATAACCAAATGACCGACTACTTATTTCTTACTGGCTAAACAAGTAACTGCCTCCCTGTTCAACTGAGAAATTGCCTTTCCTGTGAAAATGCAGTATTAAAGCTAAAATACAGTATTTGTGCTGAAAGCTGCTGAAGTGGAGCTGAAATCAAGCTCAAAAGGTTTAATGACAACACTGTTAATGTAAGTTAACTGTGAACAGCTTTTTGCTGAAAGTAAAACAACAAAAGTTGAAAATCAATAGAAAGATAGCTAAAAGGTCTAACATAGAGAGTAAAAACTGTGGCTAAAATTAACAAAATAAAGCTAAAAGTAGCAGAAACATGTTAAACTTAACAGACAGAGAAATTAGTGAAAACTTTTGAATAAGCAAAAAAACATGTCCTGATGCATCTCAGTAATCCAGGTAAAAAATCAAAAAGAAAAAAAATTGTGTAGGTCTTCTGGACGGGTTCTTC